ATCAGCTACATGTTAACTATCATCAGAACAGAGACCGGAGCCCTTGTCTGCAGCAACTAGTTCTTAACATTCCTTTAAATTCTGTTTTTGCTAAAACAAACCCTCCAGTGCCTCCAAAATCACGGTTCTCTAGGCCTGGGTCTCATGTCCCTACTGGTTAATACAGCTCTGACTGCTATGGAATAGTTCAAAAGTCCCAGTGTGCTGTACATTCCAGCAGTGAATTCCTTTCATGAGCAAAACAATGTCGACCCCGACTTGCCTGTATTTGATTTCTGCCTTCATTTTTGTTCTCAGTCTGCTTTTGCTCAGCCGTTGGAGTGTCACATTTTTGCTCAGGAATGTGCCCTTGGCCTCCAGATTATGCACAGACAAAACACTGCTGCCAGCATCTTAGTTTTTCATGAATTTAATCACTGAAAAATGCATTCAAGGCAAATGTGGGGGCCTAGTGGGAGCGTTGTGCGCTGGCATATCAGAACAGCCTGATTGCATGTACCAGTCTCTCTCTCCCTGGGCTGAGAGTTCTGCAGGCAACCCACTCAGCACTTGAGAGGGTGGGGAGATATCCACTCCCACCCCCATCAATATCTGTATGTCCTTCTGTCAAACAATTCTACAACACATTCCAGGGAAATCACCACAATGGAGCCATTAGGATTAAACAGAGCTGTAATACATGTAACTGAAACACATAAATATAAATAGCAAACAAAGGGAATAATTGCATATTATGGATGGAGACTGGCCCAAACTCAACCCTCAGAAACATACACCCATAAACCTTGGGAAAGAGCACGACTGTAGCCAAACTTTCATAGACTGATGCTATCAAGCCCAAAACAAACTCCTGAATCTGAACTTCCCCTAACTTTGGGAACATTTGGATCTAGCTCTGAACTTTGCAGCTTGGCCTCTTTTCTAATTATGGACTTGGATGTTATTGTCGTCGTCGTCGTCATCATGGGAAGGGGTCTTACTCTGATTTCCTTCTTTTCATATTCCACTGATTAAACTTTTTACTGGCAGGAGCAACAGCTGCCTTATTACCCTCTATTGATGTTTCTTCTTTCTGATTATGCTACTGAGAAGCACCTGGAAGGGGGAGTGGGGGGGACATTCACCCCAGTGCAGAGGGCCACATCAGTTCCATTTAAGTTCTGTTTTAATGATTTATGTGGGACATTAAGTGTCACATAGGCCTGGAGCTGGTATTGTCACAGGAGTGCATCTCCCCTGTCCCAGCAAATCACTTCCAGTGAACTGATGGTTTGAATGTTTGTCCGCTGTTCTGCCTGACTAGTTTGTGATTTTCAATACTTGAAATTATTTGCTGAATAATTTTGGTGAGTAAATCTTGGTCTATACGTTTTACATGAGCAGTTTGTTGTGAGTGTTAATATTTGAAACAGGAAATTCAAGCTGTGCTGGTTACATGTGACTAGGCACATGGGTCACATAATACTGTTTCAGTCTCCTAATTGGAGGAGTGTAAGCTTGCTGGCCTGCACTGCTTTAAGTAAAGCTGTTTCCTAACATTAGTTATTCTGGTGCAATCGTATGTGTCAACAGTCGTATTTAGGCATAAGCATGGCTAAAAGTCAATTTAGCTAAATGTAATAACAATCGGACATTAGCCACTTGATTCCAAAATAAGGGCAAGTCTACAAAAGAAAGTCCATCTAACTCATGTCAACGTACAGCCACCACAGTAACTGAATCGGTTTTTCATGTCCACACTACACTCCTTGTGTCAGCGGTGTGCATCCGCACCAGGAGCACTGGCACTGATTTAACTGCCAGTGTGGGGCATTGTGGGATGGTTTCTGAAAGGCAGCAACAGTCAATATAAGCTATGCAATATCTGCACTGACACTGCATTGACCTAACTACATCGACTTAAGCACTACGCCTCTCGCTGAGGTGGCGTTATTAAGCTGGTGTAGTGGGCAAGAAACACTGAGAGCTACATTTTAGTGTAGATGCTTACAGAGTTAGGGCAACATACGGCAGCTTACGTCACCCTAACTCTGTAGTGTAGACCAGGCCCAAGTGTCTACACACAGATTTGCACTGAAATACCTAAACTGAACTTAATTCATGCCTTTTGCTACTTGGGTGCATATCTATATGTTAGACCAGCCCTTAGTTTCAGGTTTTTGTCATTAATACCCACATTTATGAATTGAAAATGTGCTTTCCATGACTAGCCTGCTGAATTTTACTTTTTCCATGAAGATTCCTACCCGAAATGTTTGCTAGAATATTCACAGGAGGTGATCACAGAATATGCAGAAAGATGGGTCAGATCCCCAGCTGGTGTAAATCAGTGTAGCTCTACTGAAGTGATTGGAATTATGCTGATTTACACTATCTGAAGAGCTGGCCCAGTATTTGCACTGTTTACACCAGTGTATTCTCTAGGCTGAATCGTAAATGTTAAGGAAAATGAAGGCAGCTTTTTGAGGACTTTGTCAACAAAACAGCTTCAAGAAAGCAATAGTAATTCAGAGGGCGTTCTTGCCAGCAGATCCGTCTATTTCTTGGAGTGACAGGGAATTTAATGCTTTTCTACTGTAGATTAGTTTGTGCCAATATCCTACTACAGTTATGGAGTATTTAGCATTTGTGAAGATCCTAATTAAATGTGTTACTGTAAACAGAATGCAAAAGAGGGCTAAGTCCAATGAATTTTGTCTACAGTGATTAACCAAAGTCAACAAATTTCATTTATTAAGAACCAGTAAAAGGAGGGGTAAGGGGTGGTGGTGGTTCAGATGGAAAAGGCCTTATTGTTTTAGTCAAATAGTTTGGTTGCCCTTGAACAGGGGATTCATCAGCTAGATGGAAATTTACCAGGTGTGAGAGAGACAAAAATAAAATGTGGTTATGAAAAAACAGCAGGTGTTCCACGCAACCAGCAGGTAGAAGTTAAAAGAATGTACGAGAATGTGTCTCTACATGCCACTCCCCAGCCACACTCCTGGTGGGTTCTCTTAAAACAAAAACCCCAAAGAGGCTCTTTTGCGGACTTTAAGCTTTCTCCCACATTTAGTACAAACCAACACCTATTCTCAAGTACCTAAGTAGGATCCAGTAGTGCACAATAAATATGAATGACCTGTGGGCAAAAACTGGTTTCGTGTCTTTGCAATGTTTGCTGACCTTGGAGAAAGGCAGTGTGTGTAGTGGGGAGAGCAGGAGACTAGGAATTGTGTCTGTTGGATCCCATTCCCAGCCCTTTTGGTGACTTGTTGAGTGACCCTGCAGTCTCACTTAATCTCTGCCTGCCTCAAGCCATCTGCAGTAGGGGAAAAGGTGTTCCTTAAAACAGTTTGGAATACCTTGAGTCTGCAAAACCTCTAGAACCTCCTATATCCACAGATGAGAGCAGTCCCATATGCAACAGCCATAAAAAGTGACTAGAACCAGATTGATTTACTAGTTCCAAATAAACTATCTGACCAGTTGAGCCCTTTTCCTGTGGGAGAGGTAATATGGTTTCATGGCTTAGACACTGGATTGGAAGTTAGGAGATCTGGGGTGAAATCTTGGCCACATTGAAGTCAATAGTAAAATTCTCATTGACTTCAATGGGGACAGGATTTCATCCAAGGCTGTATTCCTGGCTCCGCCACTGACCTGCTGTGTGACCTGGGCAAATGACTTAACCTCTTGGTGCCTCTGTTTCCCCTCCCACCCATTGTCTGTCTTGTTTATTTAAACTGCAAGATCTTTGGTGTTGGGACAGTCTCTTACTCTGTGTTCTGTACTGCTCCTAAAGTCCCTGTCTTGGCTCAGGTCTCTGGACACGAGTAATACAATAACAATAATGTTTGTAAATTGTTTGAGCATTGACCCTGATTTCTCCTGTTCACCAAAGAGCATATGCGAACAATTTTCAGCCTCTGAATTGTTCTTGAATTGCTCACTTCAACAATTCACTTTCCATGATGTGGGTTTGGTCCTCTACTCACATGATATTGCTCCTGCTCCTGGATTGGATGACTAATAAATAACCAACAGTGGCTAACACATGATACGCTTCCAGTATGAATTTTCCATTGAATAACAGTTCTTGCTAAAACTGGTGAAATTTTCCTGCTACAAGAGGAAGAATTCCGAAATGCTAAGCTGGTGTGGAGTGGGCGGAGAGGGACCCTGCAGAATTGGAGGCTGAGGAAGGAAGCTGCTGGAGCAATGTCTAGAAACAAGTTGGATGGAGTTTCAGCTTAGAGCTAACTCAGGAGAGAGAACTCTGAGGTGATTGGCATGAAATCCCATGGCAAATCTATGTGGATATCTATGTGTGTATCTGTCATGTTTCCATATTTTGTCATGTTAATATTTTTCCCTCCATAGCATAGGCTTGATCCTGTGTGTTGTCAAGCACCACCCGTGGCATGATGAGTGGTGTGAATTGGGACTGCTCAGCACCTTGCAGGACCAGGCTCTCTTTGATTAATTGCTATTCATCCTCAGCTTTGCAAATCACCTGCAAAGACCCACAGAGTCACAACTGCAGGGGGATAGTGGCTTAGTTTTATTCAGCTTGTCATTCTGGCTGCACTCTCTGATTGGGAGAAGGAATATAGGTGATGCTGTTACAAGTTCAAATAAGTTTTGGGAGGGCAGGGAGGAGTATGGATCCCCTTCCTCTGCCTAAGAAGGCAAAGCTCCCTCTCTGTCCCCTTGCTGGGGTAAGCAGCTCTCTCCCACGGCTCTCCTTCTCCTTGGGGCAGGAAAAGCTCCCCTCCTCTTTCAATCTATTTTAACCAGCTGTTGTTATCAATAAGATGTTACTTATCCTTGTTTTCCATCTGGGGAAACTAAGGCACAGACTGATGTTGCTTCAGGTCACGCAGGAAATCAGCTGCAGAGTTGGGAAAAGAACCCAAGTCATCTGACACAGCCATTCGATCCATACTTTCTGTGTAATACAATTTGCTAATAGTAATATTTTCCTTGGAATGTTCTAAAACAAGTATTCTTTACCCTAGAGACTGGAACAGCTGACCACCAGCAATGCCAACATACCACAGCTATGCCGGGCATAATCCTGCAACCCTTACTCATGTAAGTAGTGCCACTGAAGGAATATTTGCATAGATAAGGATGTTCAGAGTAAGGACCACAAGCAGGTCTGTATTATACAGAAGTGGCATGACCCCACTCACAACTGCAGGACCATTTAACTCAAGGGACATTTAACTCGAGGGATATTTGTGCCCCTGGTATACATTTACTTGCAGTTAGGTATATTCGAGCAAGTAAGCAACTTTCCATCCTGGGGATCCTAAAGGGTGAAAGCATAAGTGGTGATCATTGTAGGAGGTGGATGTACAGGAAGTGACTTGAGTACCTTGTGAAAGGTAAACAAGACTTCAGCCTCCTCCAAAGAAGAAATTGCAGTATGTATTGAATCAGGTTTTTAAAATATCTAGCTATGCATTTAGCTGCCCCTAACTGTTTATCCAAGTGGCTGGCGCTGTCCCAGTCTCTCTGGTAAGTGACCTTTCCCAATTTTTTTCTTTTTAAGTTGACATTTAAGAAGGGGAAAAAGTCACAGGCACAAGTTACCTTTTTACAGCGATAAAGCCGCACCAATCAACAAAGCCAGGAAAGTCTAGCTGGAGCCAACCCCTCCTTTCTATGCCTTTCACAGTGGAATTTGTACAGACAAAGTGTTAGCTTTAATTTCCTGGTTTGATAGTTTTGCATCCCAACATGGGTTGGCCTATGGGAAGCTTCTCTGTTTCCTGTTAGCTTGAATTACTGATTGGTTACATGGAAAGGTAGGGTTCAGGCGGCTGCTGTGCATCTCTCTGGGAAAAGACTCCTGAAAGTAATTAAGTAAAGAAGGGCAGCTGCTGGCAGCTGGAGGCACTCAGGCTGTTAGCTCATTACCGAAAACCAAACGCTGAAGAGCCTTAAATCTTCCTTGAAGGACTCTAAAGTTGGGCAAAAAGGCGGAGCTCCATGCTTATTTTGAAAAGGCCTCAGACAGCTGTGGTAAATATTTTAGTGTAAGCTCAGGAGGGGAGTAAAATTAATTCTTATGCTTCCCAGCCTCTGAACTAGACGCATATAATTCCCCAGCTTCAGATACTTGTGCTACTCTTTTCCCACATATGTTTATTTAAGAAACGTGGCCTTGGTCTCGTGGCCATTTTCCAGGCCAGCCTTAGGCGTGCGTGAAATGTGAGATGACACAGGGCTCAGTTGTCAATGTGCACCCAATATCTCCCCTACTAATGGGCCCACCACAGTCCTTCCCCTTGAAAGTTAATCTGTGGAGCTCATCCTCTAAATTCTCAGCCAAGTGTATCCCCACTTCCTGGTAGCTGGTCAGACCCTTCAGAGAGCAACAAGCACTGTACAGAAATGCGAAGTGCTCTGAATCCCCCACCTTCTGCATCCCTCCCTCTAATGACAAACCTCCATGCTTTAACCCAGCTGCCAAACCCTCCCATTCCCAGATGTGCTCTCTGGGATGTGGCCATCTGCCTGAGGCCCTGCTGTGCATCTCACTGTGCAAAACGCCCCCACAACCCACCCGTCAAGGACTGGCCCCACATGTTTTGCTCATATTTGTGTTGTTTTGCTGCAGATGGTGAGTGGAATCACAAACAGCAGCTGGATTGATGTGTGGGACTCTTCCCCCCCCCCCCAATCCTTTGCTTCTTTCTCCTCTTCTCTCTCCTTTGTATTAAAACAAGAGATGGGAGCCCCACGGGGCCCCCATATCTGAACTCCTGCATTTTGAACCCTGGGATCCAGATCTGAACTTTGCAACTTGGCCCCATCAGTGAGTTCATAACCAATGCTTAAAACTGAAGCCAAATACAAGCTAATGCAAAAGTAACAGCCTGGAGCTGATTTGCCTGGGAGTTGAGGCTAAGGGCCTGGGCGAAGAGCTGGGGTTAAATTTATGCAGGCCCATTTAAAAAGCATAGATGTTTGAGCCAAGTTTTTATTGTGCTAGGGGCTCTATATGCAGCTTGTGCCTTTTGAATTGAATTTTTCCACTTTGGGTTGAACTCTTCGCACAAAATGTGCACAAGTGTGGGGGGGTGTTTTTGTTTTTGTACATTTGGTCTCGTGTGCAAAACTTGCCTGCTCCAGATGAAAGTGTCAATTGATCCATGTCCTGTCTTGCTTTCTCTGCTAAGCAGAATAGGGGATTGTGTCAGAAAAGACATTAACTAGCCGGATCTGAAATTGTATTTGTCTAGATTACATGTACTAAAGAGCCATGAGGCTATATAGAAGAGTACTTCAGTGTTTCAAACAATGCTTTGTTACCATGCATATCCATGTCACACAGTGGGAGGGAAAGTAGTTCCTGGTATAGCCAGATATGGAATTTGATTACTGTCAGCAAATTTTCTTAAAGTGACTTGTGTATCAACTTTATCATGGTATGTAGCAACCAGTCATTGTTTCCTCAAGTGGTGTACTTCACCCTCATTTTACCTTTATTGGGACACTCCTTATTCCATTTTTCCCAAGATGAACGCTTCTTAAGCCAGTCCAATTGTGGAACAGAACAGGACAATTTCTTTAGAACAACAATTATGTTATACTTACTTATGTAGTACCATTTTGCCTGGAGGATACAGAAACTCTTCACAAACTAAATTCAATTTATAGCTCATAGATCATTTAGTATGGTGTAAAACAGGGGTGGACAAAGTTTTTGGCGCGAGGGTGACCTCTGGATGGAAATTGTATGGTGGACCATGAATACTCACAAAACTGGGGGTTGGGTGCGGGAGAGGGTGAGGGCTCCAGCTGGGAGTGTGGGCTCTGGGGTGGGGCCAGAAATGAAGAGTTCAGGGTGTGGGAGGGTACTCCAGGCTGGAACCAAGGGTTTCGGAGGGCAGGAGGGGGATCAGGGCTGGGGTAGGGGGTTGGAGCTTGGGAGGGTGTCAGGGGTGCAGGCTCCAGGCGGTGCTTACCTCAAGCAGCTCCCGGAAGCAGCAGCATGTCCCCCCTCTGGCTCATACACGGAGGCATAGCCAGGTGGCTCTACACGCTGCCCTGTCCACAGGTGCTGCGGGAGCAGCATGCAGAGCCCCCTGGCTACCCCTACGCATAGGAGCCGGAGAGGGGACATGCTGCTGCTTCCAGGAGCCACGCAGAATGCGGCAAGCCCCTGACCCTATTCCCTGACTGGAGCGAGACAACTCCCAGACCCCACTCCCCGGTGGGAGCTCAAGAGCCGAATTAAAACATCTGGAGTGCCAGATGCGGCCCCCAGGCCGTAGTTTGCCCACCCCTGGTGTAAAATCTCTGTAACGAACATGGAAATACTCCCATCTCTAGAAAGGACTTGGAGGGAGTATGGCTGAGCCCCTCATTGATCTTCATGGGGAAGCAGGCTACTTCAGTTCTCCCAGCCTGTGCAGTCATTTCAGGCTAAGCCCTCTCCCTTCCCACATGAGCAACAGATATCTTCTGGCAGCTGGGGGTCTGCCTAGAGCCCACTCCTGTCTGTGGCAGTGGAGCCAGGATGTTCTTCCAGTCCTGCTGCTATTGCAGGCTTTCCTTCATTCTGGAACTGAGCACTTGGTGCACTCTGGGGCATGTCCAGGGTGAAAGTGAGCCGGTACGGGCCTGTACGGCGTACTGGTAAGAAGTCCCTGCCCCTTTTGCCTCCCCCGTTGGCGGCCCTGCTGGTAGGGTCCGTACCAGCGGGACCGCCAACGGGTGTGGGGGGAAAGGGGCAGCAACGTTAAAGCACTGCTGCGGCAAAGGACTGTCCTTGGCAGCGCTTTAACGTCTCTGCCCCTTCCCCGTCGGCAGCCCTGCCGGTGTGGACCCTAACGGCAGGGCCACCGATGGCGGGGGGGGGGGGGGGGTGGTTCAAAAGGGGCAGTTATGTTAAGGTGCTGCTGCAGCAAAGGGCCCTGCTTTAACATCATTGTCCCTTATGTGCCCCCCCCCCCGGCTGCCGACAGGGGGGGCAAAGGGAGCAGCTGCCCTGGGGCTGGCAATTTAAAAGGGCCCAGCGCTCTGGCCACCGGTGCTGCTACTGTGGCAGCAGCCGGAGCCTCGGGCCCTTTCAATCGCCACTGGAGCCCTGGGTGGTGCGGGCCAGGCAGCCTGGAAGGGCTGGCTGGGGGACACTGACCCCCAGCCATGCCCCTTCCACCTGAGGCCCTGCGCCTTCCTGGGGCCGGAGCTGGCCACGGCCCCGTACCGGTAAGTGTCTGGAGTTACTTTCACCCCTGGGCATGTCAGACCCAGAGTAAGAGAAATTTCCACAGCTGATAAGCGTGATGATACTGATGGATTTTGGAGGAGATTGGGTTTATGTTGCTGACCCTACCAAAGACTCTGTAAGGAGCCCATCTGTAAGGGTATGTCTATACCGAAATCACAAGGCTTGATTCCACTTGTGTAGACAAACCTGAGCCACCTTTAATCTAGCTAGCTCAGGTAATGGAGCAGTGTAGCTATGGCAGTACAGGCTTCAGCATGGGCTAGTCACCTATGTAATTACCCAGGGTTTCAGCTGGGTTTGTGCAAACCATGATGAAGCCTGGGCTGCCATGACGTCACTGCTACCAGCATCCGAGGTAGCTTGGGTCTGTCTAAACAATCTGCAGTTACACTTGTGATTGCAGTGCACACATTCCCTAACACTAAGAATACTAACAAGAAATGCCCAAGTTATTGTGCTGGGAGAGTGATATCTCTGGGTGGGGGTGGTATTGAGAGAGATACTATTCATAAATTATGGCAATTCCTAGGCCTTCTCTGCATGGAATCTCCACTTTATTTTTAATGCTCAGACTGTCATATTTAATATTTGGTTTAGATGAGCTTGTGTTATTTAGATTCTTGGAAGTTGCAAGGCCAGTGCACTAATCCACTGCAGAGGGCTGTACGTTTGTAGACTTCCTGTCCACCTTCCGAGAATGTCAGCATTGGAGAGTGTGTTGCTATTTTGATCCCAGGAATTTCAGTATAGGATTTCACTTGTTTTGAGCATGATAACCTTTCTCATCACAATGAGCCTACTGGACAAGACGGACGGGTGTAGCATGCTTCCTGTGTACTCGCGTGAAACCCATTCAAACTGCTCTACATGGAAAAAATGAGAAGTGAGTTTAAAAATATCAACTCAATTGTTAATGGCTCCTGGAGAGAAGGGGTGGGGAGAGATCTGTAACCTACACAGAGTACTCAGCTACAATAGGGGAACATGTTTTCACCAGGGAAATGTCCAGTGTAAATAATGCGGTGATGGAAAAGCTTACTAAGTTTCACTAGTCTTTTCTTCTTCCTCTCAGCGCTATATGCCTCTGAGCTGGAGGCTGGGGTGTGGAACTGGCTTCTTTTTAGCCTGACTTTCAGCCACAGTCTTCACCCCCCCCCCACCCCGTACCAATATATGGGGTGGGAGGGGACCAAGTGAGAGACAGTCCCAAAACTTATCATGAAAAGTCTGCACATGGCAAACGGGGCTCTGCTAGCCCTGAGAAAATGGACTTTTTGGTGGCCCAGACATGGAAACCACTACCCAGCTTGCCAGCTCTTTGTGGGAATGGGACTGTCTGTCCCTACAGTTACAGAGGGTAATCAGATGACAGAGAGAAGGGGTGAGAGTTTGAGACGGATTTTGTGGTGGGGTGTAGAAAGATGGTGATTGTGGTGATCCTCTTCCCTGCCCCCCAATCCCCCGCAAACAAAATAACCTGGATGTGGGGCTCTGACAGTCCTAAAACAGCTCTGCCTTTTCCAACCAATAATCACATTTATTGGGTATTTCTAATTCAGTTATTTCTACCTTTTTGAGCCCTTTCTCTGTACGGTTTCTCAGCTCCTATTCCCCTTTACCAAGGGTCGGGAGCTGAGTGAGACAAACCTACCATGGGGCTCATTTTTGATTTTCAAGTCATTAAAGAGCTCCTGACAGAGCCATATTGACCTCTTACTATTCTCTTTCCTTCACCTCGGGATAGTTTGCAATTGTGCCTTCAGTATCGTCTCCTTGAGAAACTTCCAGCTCTCCCCAGCTCCTTTATCCCTTAGATTTCCTCCCCAAGGGACTTTACCTACCAGTTCTTGAGAGTGTTGAAATCAGCTTTTTTGAAGCCCATTGTCCTTATTCTGCTGCTCTCACCCCTTCCTTGCCTGGGAGCCATGGATTCTAACGTTTCATGGCTGCTTTCACCCCATTTGCCTTCCACCTTCAGATTCACTACCAATTCCTCTAGTTTAAAATGGCTGTTCCCCGGTTACTTCCTCCGCTTTCTGAAACAAAAAGCTGCCCCAATACAGTCCAAGAACTTATTGGAAATTTTGTGTTTTGCCATATTACTTTTCCAACAGATGTCTGAGTAGTTAAGGTCCTTCAGGCGTTTTGGATATTTCTGCTGTTTGTTCTAGAAATGCCTCATCCACCTCATCTTCCTGATTTGGTGGTCAAGAGAAGCCACTATCCTACCATGAAGTCACTCTTATTTTTTCACCCTTTTATCTTTACTCAGATGCTTTCAACTGGTCTGACTCCTGGACATCGGAACAAGTGTCTATACTTTTTGATGTATAATGCAACACCTCTACCCTTTTATTCCCTGCCTGTCCTTCCTGAACAAGTTATACCCCTCCATGGCAATATTCCAGACACCAGATTTATCCCACTACGTTTCTGTGATGACAGTTAAGTCATAATTTAGCTTATGTACTAATACTTGTAGTTCTTCCTATTTATTCCCCCTATGCCTTACATTTGTGTATAAACCTCTAAGATGTTGAGCAGATTTGCCCATTGATTTCCCTCTGATTGCTCCTATGACCCTATTGTAATTTTCCGTGTCCCCCTAAACATCTAGTTAAAGTTGCCTTGTTTTATGCTTACATGTGGGCTTTTGTCACATGCCCCCTTGGAACCTAAGTCAAAGCCCTCCTCATTAGGTTGGTGAGTCAGTGCACAAAGATGCTGTTCTCCTTCTTGGGCCCTATCTCTTCCCAGCTTCCTGGAATGGCATCTGATGGTCAAGGAAGCTGAAGCCCTTCCATTGATGCAGCCATGAATTCATCTCCAGGATGCATGTGTCCCTGCCTGGTCCTTTATCCTCGCTCCCAGAGCCCTGTGGTCCCTGCTGATCTGCTCAGGGTCCTACCTGGCAGTATTGTTTGTGCCCATGTCGATGAGCATGGGGTAGTGGTCAGAGGGACGGATGGGTCTCGGCAACCTTTCCATAACATCTTGGATGTGGGCCCCAGGAAGGCAGCACAGTTCCCAGGACATCATGTCAGGTTGGCAGATGGATACCTCAGTCCTCCACAGAAGAGAGTCCCTGACTATCAGCGCCCTATGCTGCCTCCTCTTGGGTGCAATAGCTGTGAGCCTCCTAGCCTTGGGGACAGCTGCCTCCTCCTTCTCAGTCACTGGGGTCTGCTCTTTACCACCTGTTTCCAATACAGCATACTGGTTATTGATCACAATGGGTGGGGGACCTGGATAGGTAGGGTGGAGCACTATCTACTGCCCGAGGTGGCTAGCAGCCAGTCTCCTGCCCATAGAGCAGCCAGTTCTCCTTGTTTCTCTGGGGTCGCTGTAGTTGTGTGTGTGGGCCACAGCCATGCAAAGTGCAAATCAACATTTGTGGACCTCGGACTGGGAAGGCCCCCCCACTGCAGCTGACATTCATTCTAATTGTAAAGTCTCTGTAATGCAAGTCTACAACCATAATACCCAGGAGTTCTATTTGTAGGCCTGAAGTATGACAAAGGAGATAAGCATAATTTCCCCCCTTTTACAGATGCGGAAACTAAGGCACAGGGTGGTGAAATGATTTGTCCAAGGTCACTCAGCAAACCAGTGACAGAGCGCAGAATAGAATCCAGGTCTCCTGGGCCCCAGTCCAGTGATCTGTCCTTTGAGCCATGCTTTCTGCTGGGGTATTCCTTGTGTCCAGCCCTGTAATAGGTGTGTGCTTTAGTAGCAGAGCGATGGGATGGGATAGGAGTAATGGGATCCACCACCAACCATTGCAGAATGGGACCACAGGGGTGTAACTCACTCAGATTAAACACTACATGGGGTTGTCGCTTATTTCCACTTTGATGAAGTATTCTAGACTGTTGAAAATTAGAAAGCAGTTGTTGAACTTTCAGTCCTGAACTCTAAAAGACCCGTCTAGAGGAAAGTTGAAAACAAGCTGTTAGAAATGAGGGAGGATTCCAGATCTGGATAATTTGCTGAGATTTCAAAGTCTAAAAGGAGAACAGAACTTCACCACATGAGAAGCCAAGCCCCAAATGAAATCTCAAGTCCCTTGTTCAATCGGTGTGGAGCTGACAGCACGTGCTTTTCTTATACCTAATTTTATTGTGTTGGCAGAAGTCAGATATGGGGTGTGGGAAGAACACTGGTATCCCCATATTAAGAAGCTTTTCCCTTCCTCTTTTCCTTGGGCAGCCTCTATTTGTCTGATGTGTTTTGTATGACAATATTTTAATTATACTCTTATAATTTATTACAGATCATTTTAAAGGACCTTGAGTGCCTTGGCCATAGAGGAGAGAGAGTTTTATAAAATAAAATCATCATCATTTTTTTTCAGATGTTACCAGAAGAAATGCTGATTAAAGGTGCCTTTTGTTCAGTACATGATTTAAAAGGTGACTCTAAAACCTGCCCTTGTCATTCATGCAACTAAAGCCTGTTTATAAAACAATGACTGAGGGCTTCTATTTATGGTTGCGCTTACATTATGTTCAGAACTGCTAGAAATGCAAATCCAAAATGTAACTCCTCTGTGTGCAGTTTCCTTTAATTAGAATGAAATCCTGATGAATCATGAGTTCTGCCTGCCTCCGAGATGCATGAAGAATCCAGCTTTGGCAGCAAACATCCAGGTACAGCAAGTACTAAAGTTTACTAGTTGTACTTGCCATCTGCTGCAAGGACTTGTTTTTTGTCCTGGAGTCACATGCTAGCTTGTGATCTGATCATGAGTTGCAAAGGATAACCTTCCAATATTTATTTTTTGCATCTGGAGTTTTAAAGGCAGAGCAAAAGAAGGAAAGCAGAAAAAACCTGGCACTTGCCTATTTTAGTTAGTTTTGCTTAAAAAAATCGTATCTCTCCCTCTTCCCGCCCCCACCCTTTGCTGTACTTTGGATAGTGGGAGGAGGCCACTAATAGCTATTGGGAGCAAGCAGTGGGCCATGGTTAATTGCGTTTAAAAGATATAATGTGCTGGAAAACCTGGAGAGGTTTGGGTTGAAATGTAGTGGATGGCCATACCATTCAGGAGAGCTGCAGAAACTGACCTCCTCCTCCCACTTGCTCTCTAGGAATGGAGTTCTGGCCTCCCTGATCTTCTGGGCCAGCTGCAAGGAGCAGCCAGCATATGAAGTCATAGCTACCAGCCAAAGAGGAGAAGAGAGAGATCCGCTCAATTTGGAGCAGACAGTATTCCAAACCTTGCCTTGTTCATGTTTCAGAGGCAGACACCAAGGCAGAACCTCAGAATGGAGGGAAAGCCAGGCAAACACTGCCTGCCACCCTCTGGAGTGAGCTGACCCCTGCTGGCCAGGGCGATACAGCACCAGTGGAGGTGAGTCAAACCCATTTTCCACCCGTGTTTCCATTTAGCTGTTTGCTGCAGCTTTGCTCATGAAAGCACAAAATGAATGAAATCCCACTAGAAGTTACCACCCATTACACTGAAGTGGAATTGTCCCAGCCCAGCAGCATGCCGGTAACATTCTGCTCTCACTGACCTATAACTGTGCAGTTATCATCAGATAGGCAGTTCCCTGAACTCTGGGCATCTGACTTTGCAATGATCTTACAGCATGCAAACTCCTGCACCCTGATGGCTACACTGCCTACCAGCCAGCCAGAGTAAGCAGGAGTTGCGTGCTCACCACATTTATTCCTCAATAACCATACTGTGCCCATACAAATAGTTCTGCTTTGACAGGCTCCTTTGCTCAGAATGATCACGCTGTCTGCCAGCAACACAGCCACCTCCCTCGCCCCTCAGATGACTAGGCACATGCCCAGAATGCACCTAGAAAGGAAGGTGAAAATACCTGAAAGCAAAAGATAGGGCTTATTCTTGTGTCATTCGCTCTTTGCACAGTAAACGTGATGTGAAGGAGCCACGCAGGTACAGTGGAGTCCAAATAACACCGTTTACTGAATACTTGCTCTGTGCAAGGTCTATCTACCTGTACATGCTGGTTGGGTTCTGGCAGCTTCTAAAACATAGAACACAGTGAGCACTACTAGAGGGCTCACAAGCTTTTTAAAAGGATAGTGTCTATTCCTACACACTGCAGCTATGAAAAAGACCCAGCTTAAAATATCCTTGGAACTCAATGTCTTCCTTCAGGCTCAGTGTGTTGAAATCAATGGGCAGTTTGCTACTGATGTTAGAGCAGACTCAAGCTCTTAGAATCACAGAAGATTGGGGTTGGAAGAGACCTCAGGAGGTCACCTAGTCCTACCCCCTGCTCAAAGCAGGACTAACCCCAACTAAATCATCCCAGCCAGGGCTTTGTCAAGCCGGGCCTTAAAAATCTCTAAGGATGGAGGTTCCACCACCTCCCTAGGTAACCCATTCCAGTGCTTCACTACCCTCCTAGTGAAATAGTGTTTCCTAATATCCAACCTAGACCTCCCCCATTGTAACTTGAGACCATTATTCCTTGTCTTGTCATCTGCCACCACTGAGAACAGCTGAGCTCCATCATCTTTGGAACCCCCCTTCAGGTAGTTGAAAGCTGCTATCAAATCCCCCCTCACTCTTCTCTTCTGCAGACTAAACAAGCCCAGTTCCCTCAGTCTCTCCTCGTAAGTCATGTGGCCCAGCCCCCTGATCATTTTCGTTGCCCTCCGCTGGACTCTCTCCAATTTGTCCACATCCTTTCTGTACTGGGGGGCCCAAAACTGGACACACTACTCCAGATGTGGCCTCACCAGTGCCGAATAGAGGGGAATAATCACTTCCCTCAATCTGCTGGCAATGCTCCTACTAATGCAGCCCAAAATGCCGTTTGCCGCCTTGGCGACAAGGGCACACTGCTGACTCATATCCAACTTCTCGTCCATTGCAATCCCCAGGTCCTTTTCTGCAGAACTGCCACTTAGCCAGGCGGTCCCCAGCCTGTAGCAGTGCATGGGATTCTTCCATCCGAAGTGCAGGACTTTGCACTTGTCCTTGTTGAACCTCATCAGATTTCTTTTGGCCCAATCTCCAATTTGTCTAGGTCACTCTGGACCCTATCCCTACCCTCCAGCATATTTACCTCTCCCCCCAGCTTAGTGTCATCTGTGAACTTGCTGAGGGTGCAATCCATCCCATCATCCAGATCATTAATAAAGATGTTGAACAAAACCGGCCCCAGGACCGACCTCTGGAGTACTCTGGGGGAGGTCTAGGTTGGATATTAGGAAACACTATTTGCATGATACCGGCTGCCAACTAGACATTGAGCCGTTAATCATTACCCATTGAGCCTGACAATCTAGCCAGCTTTCTATCGACCTTATAGTCCATTCATCCAATCCATACTTTTTTAACTTGCTGGTACTGTGGGAGACTGTATCAAAAGCTTTGCTAAAGTCAAGGTATATCATGTTCACTGCTTTCCCCATATCCACAGAGCCAGTTATCTCATCATACAAGGCAATCAGATTGGTCAGGCGTGACTTGCCCTTGGTGAATCCACGGTGACTGTTCCTGATCACCTTTCTCTCCTCCAGGTGCTTCAGAATGGTTTCCTTGAGGACCTGCTCCATGAATTTTCCAGGGACTGAGGTGAGGCTGACCGGTCTGTAGTTCCCTGGGTTCTCCTTCTTCCCTTTTTAAAAGAAGGGCCTATATTTGCCTTTTTGCAATCGTCGGGGACCTCCCCCGAACGCCACGAGTTTTCAAAGATAATGGCCAATGGCTCTGCCATCACATCAGCCAATTCCCTCAGCACCCTCGGATGCATTAGAGCTGGACCCATGGACTTGTGCATGTCCAGCCTTTCTAAATAGTCCTTAAACTGTTCTTTCACCACTGACAGCTACTCACCTCCTCCCCATACTGTGTTGCCCAGGACAGCAGTGTGGGAGCTGACCTTGTCTGTGAAGACCAAGGCAAAAAAAGCATTAAGTACTTCAGCTTTTTCCACATCATCTGTCACTAGGTTGCCTCCGCCATTCATTAAGGGTCCCACACTTTCCCTGACCTTTTTTTTTGTTGCTAACATACCTGTAGAAACCCTTCTTGTTACCCTTCACATCCCTTGCTAGCTGCAACTCCAGTTGTGTTTTGGCCTTCCTGATTACACCCCTGCACGCTCAAGCAATATTTTTGTACTCCTCACTAGTCATCTGTCCAAGTTTCCACTTCTTGTAAGTTTCCTTTTTGTGTTTAAGCTCACCGAAGATTTCACTGTTAAGCAAAGCTGGTCGCCTGCCATATTTGCTATTCTTTCTGCACATCGGGATGGTTGGTTCCTGCGCCCTCAATAAGGCTTCTTTAAAATACAGGCAGCTTTCCTGGACTCCTTTCCCCCTCACATTAGCCTCTCAGGGGATCCTGCCTATCAGTTCCCTAAGGAAGTCAAAGTCTGCTTTTCTGAAGTCCAGGGTCCGCATTTTGCTACTCTCCTTTCCTCCTTTTGTGAGGATCCTGAACTCAACCATCTCATGGTCACTGCTGCCCAGGTTGCCACCCACTTCTACTTCCCCTACCAATTCTTCCCTGTTTGTAAGCAACAGGTCAAGAGGAGAGGGGCCACTGGCTGGTTCCTCCATTAGTTGCACCAGGAAGTTATCCCCAACCCTCTCCAAAAACTTCCTGGATTGTCTGTGCACTGCTGTATCGCTCTCCCAGCAGATATCAGGGTGACTGAAGTCCCCTATTAGAACCAGAGCCTATGTTCTGGAAACTTCAGTTAATTGTCTGAAGAAAACCTCATCTACCTCATCCTCCTGGTCTGGTGGGCTATAGCACACGCCTACCATGACATCACCCTTGTTGCTCTCGCTTCTAAATTTAACCCAAAGACTCTCAACAGGCTTTTCTCCAGTTCCATACTGGAGCTCTGAGCAATCATACTGCTCTCTTACATACAGTGCAACTCCTCCACCTTTCCTCCCCTGCCTGTCCTTCCTGAACAGTTTATACCCATCCATGACAGTGCTCCAGCCGTGTGAGCTACCCCACCAAGTCTCTGTTATTCCAATAACATCAGTGTTCCTTGATTGTGCCAGGACTTCCAATTCTTCCTGCTTGTTTCCCAGGCTTCTTGTGTTCGTGTACAGACATCTAAGATAACTAGCCAATTGCCCTGCTTTCTCAGTATGAATCAGGAGGCCCCCCATGTTTTACCCTCCTCCTTGTGTTTCCTCCTGGTATCCCACTTCCCCACTTAGGTCACCGTCCCCCAGCGAACCTAGTTTAAAGCCCGCCTCACTAGGTTAGCCAGCCTACCTACGAAGATACTCTTCCCTCTCTTCATTAGGTGGATCCCATTTCTTCCTAGCAATCCTCCTTGCTCTCCCCTGAACCTCGCAGTGCTCTCAAAGGGCCGCCAAGGTTCCCTGCCCTGCTAGCTCTTGGATGTGAGGGTATTCCCTGTGCAGAGCCACTCCTTCAGCAAAATCGATGGAAGCCAGGTGGGGAGAGGCTGGCAAGGCGGTGGGGAGGGGCAAGCTGCTAAGTATGATGAAGGCAATTGTGGGATGTCTTTGCACAGGCAGATGAGAGCGTAAGGGTTTGTGTGTGTGCCTCGGCATGGCTGTACAGAGCCAGACCAGTAGTTTCTTTCCTCTTTAATTTAAAATGTGAATATTTTAATTAAAGCTTTCAGTATAGTAACAATTTTGAGCTTAATAATCTCCTGATCCCATTAATGAGGCATGTGGGTTATTTGCTAGATGCACTTCAGGACATGGCTGCAACAGTATAAACCGGAATCCCCCTTAAATAAAATTCCCCTGAAATCAAAAGGGGATTTTATTTAATTCCTTCACTTTTCTGCTTTGATTCCGTTCTACCAACTTCCCCCACCCCCAGCTCAAAAAACCCCATAAAGCCTCCAACAATTTGAGAACGTAAATTCTCTCTCATGAGTGAGAGAACAGAGCATGTCGTTCACGCTGTATGTTGCTCCATGTTGAGCCCCTTCACAGCCTTGCCTCCCCAAGGCAGACTTCTGTGTTTAAAAGTGCAGTTCACAGAGCACAGGGCACACACTGGGGACAGTTTAGTGTGAAAAGCAAGCATGCAAACAGAGATTGGTCCAAGATAGGCTGAAAATCTGGCCATGAATATTTCTGGAACTAAATAACTTTCATTGGGAACATAAACTACAGTGACTGTCATAATCCCTGTGTGAGCCAGGTTTAAAAAAACACTCCTCAGGAAACAGATATTCTTGCAGTTCAGCAAATGGGTAAGCATGAGGCTCTGCAGTGTATTTCTGCTCCATGGACCACACTGACACCCAGGCAATTTATATGTAGCAAAATGATCTTTTTTTGGTCCATTGCTGGTCACCGAGCGATAGAGAAAGCAGAAGCTAGATGTTTCTATGAATGTGGATTATTTCTCAGAAATCAACTAGTGAAGGCAATTATCTGTCTAACATGCTTTGACAAGTCCCGCCACAGCCATCACCACAGCTATTTCTGTGTTCAAAGCAAAGAGCCTGCTGCAAGACTTTCCAGTAAAATGTGCACTCGGGTCCAGATTAGAAACAGGCCAGTAGAGGCCAGCAATTAGACGGCTGAATCTCCTCTGCCGAGGAGGGGAAAACATACATGGGGTTGTGTAAACATCAGCTAGTCCCTCAGTAAGTGCTGCATTGCAAATGACACCGCTCTGCAGAGTGAGGAGGAGCTGGAATGGCAGAGGCGTGTCCTGTGGTGTCCTTTCTCCTCCTGCCAGCCCTCCTTAGCTCTGGCACAGAGCACAGCTGGGGCACACGCGTTCTTTCGAATTTGGGACTGCAGCGTGAAATGGACTAACCCTGAGCGCTGGCAGTAGAGAAGGTGAAGGGCTTAAATAATTGCACGTAAACGGACGTAAATAATTGCACTGTTTTTCACGGCTGTGGCAACTTCCAGCAGAAGATCTTTTGCTTTTGAAAGAAAGGGCCAGCTGCTCCCCCCTGAATCCATGTGCAGAGGGAAGCTTCCATCCATGTTTCTCCTCCTCTAGCGGGTAAGAGGTGGGCCTAGCGCCATCCCTCGCTCCATGGCATTGGGCCTAGCACAATGGAGTCCTGGTCCATGACTAGAGCTCCTAGCTCCTATTGTAAAACAAATACATAACGATGATAATTAACAGTTCTCTCCATGGGGCTGGGTATTCACATGTGGAGAGGAGTAAGACTTGGTCCCCTCCTCAGCAGCACCTGCTCAGAAGTTTGCAATGGGTTTGTTTGCCTGTATGGGTATAACATATAGGCAGCAGCTGAAATGAGTCAGTCCACTGCAATCCACTGAATCCATGACAATCCACTGAAAGGCTTAGGGAAAAGGTCACATCCCTCTCATAGCGCAGCTTCAGCCTGGCTAGAGGAGCAGACATATCACTGCATTGGTTTACATTTCACTCATCAATTGAAGTTTCTCTTCCACAGGCATGAGGGTGAGAGACCTAATTCCTGTTGTTGATTTGTTTTTAAATGACAGCTTAGATTCCAGAGCACAAAAGGGCAGCCTCAGTTCACTGGCCCATCATGAATCAACCCAATTTGCCCGCACTCCCTTGCCATGGCTCTGGCTCAGAGGACAGTGTGTCACTCACTGAGTCGCCAGCATAATCCCTTGGTATTTCTTGGAAGTCTCCTGTATGTGTTCTGATGCATCTGAACCCTGGTTTAGCTTGTGAGAGACTTTTGTGCAGGGTGGGATGTCTAGAGGCCATGCAGTGAAGGCGTGCTCAGTCTGGCTGAATGAAACGAGGGGCTTATGGTCTTGCAGGTTTGGTCAGTGGTGATATATGGGCACTTCTGGCAACATGAGGGATTATTTTTTAAATTGGCATGAAAATTTTGTTGATTGATAGTTTGGGGGCTGGAATGTGCTTTTGGTTACATGGGTCCATGGAAGAAGCATCCATGTAACAGAGAAGATTTGATCCCTTAAATCAAAGATAGGTGCTGCAAAACAGATAAAAGACATTAAAACACATTTAACACAATTCAGCCTTTTAGATTTAAATTGGTTTAATAGTTTAAATTTATAGAGTAAAAGAAAAAAGTAACAATTTTTCTCTCTTTAGTAAGTAGAGCATTGGAGATTTTTGAGTGTTTGCATGAGTTTTTAAAATGTTGTTTAAGTCCCAAATTGTATATTTCTTACTGCCATGTGGGGTTGCCACTGGAGTGAACTAATACCAATCTGTGCACCACCATAACCAAACAGCAAGCTCTGATGTGACTCCCAAAAGTACCACTTTCCAAAAGCAAGTACTCCTGCCAACAACACGGTAGCATCAGTTAGACCAGTGGTTCCCAAACTTGTTCCACCGCTTGTGCAGGGAAAGCCCCTGGCGGGCCGGGCCGGTTTGTTTTCCTGCCGCGTCCGCAGGTTCGGCCAATACAGCTCCCAGTGGCCACAGTTCGCTGCTCCAGGCCAATGGGGGCTGCTGGAAGTGGTGCAGGCCAAGGGATGTACTGGCCGCCACTTCCAGCAGCTCCCATTGGCCTGGGACGGCGAACTGTGGCCACTGGGAGCTGCAATTGGCCGAACCTGCGGACGCGGCAGGTAAACAAACCAGCCCGGCCCGCCAGGGGCTTTCCCTGCACAAGCGGTGGAATAAGTTTGGGAACCACTGAATTAGAGAATGATTCAGAAATTATGACAGTCTAATCATGCATTATGTCAGTAGTGGCACATAGAGCAGAACAACTTACCTGCCACACCGCACCCCAATGTGTTGAGGTACTTAGTTTTTCCAAACCTGACCACACTCTGTTCCTGATAATTCAGTTTAAAAATATGAAGTGTCACTATTTACCAAACCTGTTTGTCTGGAAGAAAACCTCAGAGCTAAAAGTGTTGCTAACAAAGTGGAGGCAGAGTCAACACACAACAGAAAGTCTTTGGGGTCACTTGGATGAAAAAGAATCAATAGTACAGTAATTGCAATTGATCTACAGCTCTGCCTTGAGGTGTCTATGTGTATTAACCCCAAAATAAATAAACACAGTCAGAAACAAATAGGACAACCTGCTTGTGAGCAGTCAGGCCACCAAGCTAGGAATGCAAAGTGAAGCTAAGCACAAGTCTAGCCTGATGCAAAATATTCTTTGTAGCTAGTTTCTTCCTGGAACCAAACAAAAAAGTCTGTATTTGCATCTAATGTAAAATGCACTGGATTTTATACCAGAGCTGCTGCTTTGCTCTGCTGCTCTAGAAATTAAAAGCATTGATTACAATAGAACAGCCATATGGTCATCAGGCACAGATTGAACATTCTTATTGGGCCTGAACCTCTATCCGGAAGGAAATCCCTTTGGGCATAGTGTGTGCACAGGTATTTCAGAACCTGGCCAGGTCAGAGCACTCCGCTCTCCTAGATGCATAGGAACAGCATTGTTTGTTCAGGACAGTGAATCCCCAGGATCACCAATGCTGGGGGAAACATGAGAGTGCTGGGAGAGAAACCATGCATTCCAGGGGAGCGGAGCATGGGAGAGTGCTTGCAGGGACTCCAAGAGTGGTTAGGAGGAACCACAAAGCATTTGGACAGTGCTGAGTGCTCCCAACTGCCACTGAAGCCAGAGGGAACTGCGAGTTCTCAGCCCCTCCTGAGAGATTCTCAACCCCTTGCAAGGTTGAGCCATAAGACAGCACACTTAGGGTTTAAAATGACCTGACAAAGCCAATTTAGAGAGGGGTTTGGTTCACTTGCTCAGATAGGTGTAAATCAGAAGTAGCCCTCTTAAAGCCCCAAGAGTTACACTGGTTTAAAACTGGTGTGAGTGGAGGGAGAGCCAGGCCCAGTGTGTGTACCTGATGCTTTTTTGGAAACCAGGCTTTCAACTGAACACACCCACTAGCTGAACTGCTTGACATTTGGCTTGCAGCCCTTTTCCGACATCTGTTATTAAAATCCTTGGCTGGAGGGCACCTTACAAATTAAAAGCGATTAGCAGTAAACGCCACGGCTTACGATAGGCAGAGCTCTTTATTTCAGAATATGTATTTTTTAACGCAATTACTTTGTGCAGTGCCGCGTGGCCCAGTGAACAGGACACTGGAGTGTGACTGGCGTGCCTAGGTTGTATTCCTGGCTCTACTACTGGCCTGCTGGGTAACCCTGGTTGAGTCGTTTCATCATTCTGTGCCCTGGTCTCCCCAGCTGTAAAGTGGAGCTAATGGTACGGTCTTCCTTTGTGAAGCACTTTGAGCGCTGCAGATGACAAGAGCGACAGAAGAGCTATCTATTATCAGTATTAGCAATAATTCTTTCCTTTGTTGTTATTTTGCTTTTGTTGTCAATTTTCAACCATTGCAAAGAAGCCTGAGTGGAGAGAGGGAGCTGGGGCCATCAGAACAGAGGCAGGCATCCCTGAAGGAGACAGGCAAGGCTAATAATTACCACAGAGGGAAGTGACCAGAGGGAAGCTATAAATCTGAGTTGTACTTGTGCCTGAGGAAGTAAATGCATCTATTGGCCTTTGACTGCAGTCTGGGTAAGTGCCTTTGAAAAATCGATGGTTTTAGAAAGAGCACCCCTTCATGGAAATAGCAACTTCCTGCATGTTAGAACCTAGAAGTAACAAACAGCAGTTTGTAAATTTTCCCCATCGTAATGTAAAGCAATGTGACTCCACTGGCGTCCATTAGCTTTTCGATATATGGCAGATTTTGTACACTGTAGCAGGCAGTGCTTTCCAGGCGGCTTTGATCTGCTAGGCCTGAACTGCTTTTTTACAGTAGGCACAAGGTCAAACTAGCGGGTTGAGTCTTGAAAAAATGGCATGGCCTCTCTGTGATTTAGCAATGATTAATTATTCATATAAAGGCTGTTGTTTCAGGCAGTGACATACTCATGCCTGGGAATAAGGAACTGAGAGTGATGTAATCACTGACTGAAAGTGTGAATATAGAGCCTTTGACTTCAATACTCAGCCTGCTACCAAGGACCCCCTTGCACTAGACAAATACCAGTTTGTTTACTGGCATTGTTGCAATTTGATTTTTGCTTATTTCCTCTCACCTACTCACATTAAAAATGGAGGCCTTGGCAAAAAAGCACTTATTGAACTCTTGAGGAGAAAAATCCTTTAGCACAGGATGATTTTTTAAATGAACCGTGGTTGGTCTGAGAAGAATGTCCTTTGAAAAGTATATCCATGTAAAAGGGGGTGTCGTTTTACCGGTTTCTAGTCTCCTTGGAGGGGATGGTTTTGTGTGTGGTACTATGTAAATGGTACTCCCTGCAGTCACTAAAGCAAATTCAGTGCAAGGAAGATTTACAGGATTGGGCCCTAACTTTGGTTTTAATTAACAAGTGAGTTTTAATTAATCTTCCAAGGTAACCCACGGTATTAATCACAAGTAAATTTTTGTTTATGGTTACTTCATCATCTTCCAATGGCATGGGACTGTATAGATGTACCAGTCTTCAAGCAGAATTCCCATCAATTTTCCATGGAAGAGTTCTGTTTCAAAACAGATGCCATAATATATCCCATCAGTCTTTATTTTCAGGTACAATCTTCAAATACACTGCTCAATGATTACATGGGAACAGGTAATCCCAATCCACTGTAATTTGATGTGGGGGACAAGGTTGTAATCTTCAGGATTTGCTGAGTATCACAGAAGATCCTAGATATAAATCATGGGTGGAAGCAAAGGAGAATAATCCTAATTTTTGAATGGAAAAATATTAATGACCCTTTCTGAAGCATTTGGTAAATAAAGAGTTTAAGACAACTTCCTTCTGGGTGCTTTTGTCTTGTGACTATGACTAAACACATCATGCTGTCACCAAAATTTCTTCTGCTGCGTGTACTGATTTTACAGACAGCTTTCTTGCTGAGTTAGTATGTTTGCCGGAAACTCATTTATGTGTATTTCAGTAACAGAAAGCTGACTGGATTTTGGCAGAAAACAAAGATTCCTCCTAGCTGGCTGCCTTTTTACTATTGATGTGGATTATTTTTAATGTCATCTCTCATTTCAAAGGAAATACATAGTCTCTTTTGGTTACCAGATAATGTCAACCAGGAGGCAAGGCATCTGGAATTGCTTTGTTGCAAGAACAGTCTTTTGGTTAAAGAGAGTCAGGCCTAAAGCGTTCTCAAGACCCATGTCACTAATGGTGATGAATGCACAGACACAACCAGCAATGGGTGACGAGAGAAACTCACTGACAAACAGGGTATTTTTCAGACTTCCCTTTCACTTTTCTCTTTGTAATGTATATTTTTGGACTTTTCGGGTTGATTTTGTAAATGCTGACTGGTTGCTGATCTAGCCACATGGCTGAGCGGACAAGGGAAGTGTAAATTGTGTATCATTCTTAGTCTCCTCTGTAGTTAATCAAGGGAAAATCCAGAATTCCTGTTTGAATGACATCATTTACATGGTGGGTCTGTAGGCTAGCAGTGTTACATAATCACCTTTCTCTTCCCTTTTTTGCTTCATATTTCAAGCTCAATAATACACCTGAAACCAGCAGGTATGTACTCAGCAGGGCTCAGACATGCCTCCGCTGACACTATTTGTGCTACTGCGGTTAGGCTGCTATTTATATGCACACTAGCTTGATGAGAGCTAGCATGAGTCTGTGTACACAAGCAGGGGAATCACAGCCCTAGCTCTTCGCCTAGATGTAGCCTCAGTCCCACTTACTGCTGTGTAAGGGAGTGTAACATGGTTTAAAAAACATACTGAGAATTTGGAAATCAATTAAAGTAGGGGACGCCCTTCTTTAACCTAGATCTTCACGCAACCCCTCTTAGTTTCCTTTCTTGCCATTCCCCTAAGCCCCCTCATCTGACCTCAAACCATCTTAGGCCTGATTTACACATCAAGTTTTGCTAGCATAGCTATGTAGGCTAGGGGAGTTTAAAAAAAAAAATCACGCACCCCAGCCAACCCCTGTCAGCTGTCAGCATAACTAATATTGTTGAAGGAGGTCGTTTTACTATGCCAGCAGAACTTTGGCTTCTGTTGTGTCTACACTAGGGGGTATGCCGGCAAAGCTATGCCAGCACAGGGTGTGTGGTGTAGACATGGATTTAGACTCCTTTATGTACTCAGATACCATAGAGGTGAGCACAATATAAGAACCTCAATAGAATTTAGACTTCTTTACTCTCAGATTCAGCAGGCCTGATCTTGAGCTCATTTACAGAGTTTCAGCATTGGTGAAACTCCATTGGCTTCAATGGAATTATCCCAATTTACATGAGTGTCAGTTAAATCAGAAAGAGGGCGTAATGTCCGTATTCAGAGATAATGCACAAAGGTGGGTGTAAGTCTAAGTGAGTCTAGAGACAAAGTTGTATTGATGTGCAATACATGCTGATAGGATCACAAGAATGGGTACATTATACCAATTTACTGTCCTTTCAGTTCACTTAGACTCACCTCTGAAGTTGTCTCACAGGCCTCCTCCCCTACCTAATTGCACCCTGTGAGAAGAGTGGAAAGTACATGTTCTGCACTACCCCAGAGTTACCCTGACCTGTTATTTTCTAGGAAAGTATCAAAGAGCACTAAGTGAATGAGTCCCAGGGCAGGAGAAAGCAGAACTCCTCAAGGTGCAAGAAGGTTTTAACTTATGTATTTTAAATAGATAAAGTGGTGGCACCACAGAGACACCCATCAATATAACGTCTCACACACAGACCTCCATGCACCCGTGCCTGTTTTCCAATGCTGAGGGCCCAGTCGAACTCTCAAGAAACACGAATATAAATTTGGAGTAACTTCCCTGTCTTCAGTGGTGTCACTCTGGGTGAAAATAGAATTGGACCCAAGGCTACATTCAACCCTTGGTGTAAGTTGGTGCATGTTATGGTAAGGTTTCAGTCTGGGCCCACCTGAGATCAAGGACTGTCTACTTCATCAGAAGGGTTCATTGGGAAATGTTTGGGTTAGCCCATGACCATCGGTTTTGCAAGTCAGCTCTATCACAAGCAAAGACTGAGATGAAAATACATCTGAGATGGCTGGATTCGCTTTTATGTAGGAAAAAAAAATGGAAAAGCACCCAAAAAGGATTCCCAGTCTGAACTAAAGGCCCTGGGACAGGGGACCCTTGATGTTGAAATATGAACGATGCTCAGAGTAAGAAAAGCTATGCTGATGTTCATGGAAGACTCAACTTTCTGAATACAAATGATCTTCTTTTCTTTCTGGAAGTATATAACAGATTACAGTGGGCCAGATTGTGCCCTTACATATACCCTGTGCAACCCCACTGGCTTTAATGGGGGTGCGTGGGGCAAAAGTAAAGGCAGAACTTGGTTTTCTTTATCTTTGCAGCTTGTCATCTCTCCATCATCGCTGATTATACATAGCACCGGCATGGCCATAGCAGGAAAGAGAGGCACACTTAGAAAGAAATCCTAGTTATGTGCTCCCAAATTACCCATTAAAACCAGGTCAGGACAGTTTTCTTTTTTCCTCTCCACATGGAAAATAAGTAACGAGAGTGAATCCAGTAATCAGGAAGAGAACTGTGTCCTGCAGTCCACTATTGTTAGCTTACTGGTCTTATTATTCTTTTCTTTTGGATATATGGCAAAGCTGTAGGACTGAAATTCACCCCTGTGCAGAAGACCAGCCCTAGGCCTACACACTGCTTCAGGCCTCAGAGATTAGGGCATAAATGGAGCACAGAGCTTATACAAGAGTGAATGTCATCCTAACTCAGGGTTTCCTAAAGCGTGGGAAGGGCTGCCCCATTGGGCAAGAAGGTACAAAGGTGCAGAAAATGAGTAAATGACAGTGCATACGCAGACTTTAACAACACACAGTGGGGTGGAGGTTGGGGGTGTGTGTCATTTTCATTTCCTGGAAAGGGTGCTCAGCTTCCAAAGTTTGGGAAATGTCCAGAGCGAAGGCTTTGGCTGTTTACGTGTGTGAGACAGGCAAACAGCAACCATCACCTGAGACATTTAGCACAATTCTGGCTAGCTTGGCTGAGTAAGGGGACTTCCTCATTTTATAGTGCATGGAATCCACCTGGCACATTGATCTAATTTACCTGTGCCATGCTCAGATACTATAATGGAGGGGGCTAGAGAAAAGCAATAGACAAATAAATGGCCCTGCTCTTGAGTCTTTGCTATGGTACTGTGCAGAAATCACAAACAGAGTTCCGGGCTCAGTTAAACCATGTCATTTGAAGTCAATGGGGTTTAAAATGGCAGGGTATATGGCTCAGATTGTTCAGCCAACCATTCTGCTATATGATTACCTCTGTTCAACTCTTGGGTCAGTATAGGTATTGTAAACCTGGTCTGTGGGACAGGGTGTTTCCAAGCCTGTGCTTGAGCATCCACATTGCACTGTAAACCTGGGTTTTACAACTACTGGACCCGGGTCTCTTAGCCATGCTAACACGTCCATACTGCACTGTGCAGATCTTCTGACCTGGCTCCGCAGCTTGAGCTGCATCCACAAAGCAAAATGACAGGGCTTGGGCCTGAGTCAGAGCGGGACTCTGGCTTTGACCTGCATCCCTAGCAGGTGCTTAGTGACCCACGTCAGTCTGATTTGTTTGGACAGAAGAGGGGCTGAAGCTCAAACCTGAGTGAGAGCCTCTGTGTGCGTGTGTGTGTGTGTGTGTGTGCACAGATTAGGCACACCCCAAGTTAGCTGACCCTAAGTTAGAGGAACACAGCAACAAAAGATCCTACAGCACTTTGAATATATATATATATAATTGATTGGATAGGGTTGATTGCACTAGTGAAATGCAGGTGCCTCTGGGGTACAAAGTGACTGATGATTAGTAGACAAAATGTGAAGAATACACCATCCAGTTGGAACCCCAGGGCAAATTGCAAGTATAATTCCCCAAGTGGAATTTGTCCAGCTGAGTACTCAGAGTAGATAAGATATTGCCATTCTGGAAGACCAACCCTATCACATTTGTTTTTCACAACACCAAGATGAGTTATTGGAGCGCTGGAGGTTGCAAGCCCAGAAAGCCTGCTGAATTTTGTTTGCCTTAGATTGTTGATCCAAACAGATACAGGGGGATACTGAAAGGTGAACTCTTTGTAATTTTCCATGATCTTATCTGAAGGCATCAAAATGACCTAGACATTCATCAGGTGGTTACACTAAAAGCCACAAAAATAATTTAACAGCATTACTTTATGAAGTTGCAGACTTGGGGGAGCAATGCGCGTTTCCTGGGGGGTTGTGGGTGACCCCATTTGTCAGGAATGGGCAGCAAAGGAAACTGAGTGCTCCTCACACCCGTTTTGAAAAGCTAAAGAGATGTCATCAATTTACCATTCACCCTTCTGCCTAAACATTTTTTACCCACCATTGTTACAAGGAACATCTAAGACTGCTACCACTGAAAGAGATTTGAGGAGAAAAAAGTATTTTTCTCAATCTTTTTCAGTTTTCTTCCTTTGTACATGAGACAGCATTTCGCATGTAGTCAATTTCATGGTTTCCCTGTGTTGTTATTGTGTTTTTTTGCTCTAGTTTGTGCAGGGCTATGGGAAACAGTGAAACATTTTAAAAATAGGAAAATTTGTTTGTAGATCCACAAAAGTTGGCAGGGCGAGACAGGGTGGGGCTAGCATCTGCACCTGTTTTTAGTTTGTTTCTTCAAAATGATTAGCTTTCAGCTTGAGAGTTTCTCTTTAAAATAATAGAAACATTCTAAAAAGGCAAATTTTCTGTTATATGCAGTTTAAAGACTTCTTACTGAAAGTGAACTTTGAGAAAAATCTCATCCCAAGTTGCCTCTTAGAACCCCTACTTACTGGCTGGAAGTGCATGGAAGGGTTGATCAAGATATTATTCTAGACCTTAAAAACTGCTGATTTGGCTAAAAACTGAACAAAAATGGTACAATGGAAGCAGGACATGCAAATTCAGCTCACAGAGAACTTGAAGGGAAAATTACACATGCTGGAAGGTACAGATGAGTCCATCCTAAATAACAACATGAGGCAGACATGTTGGATCATATTAAAGAAGTTCTGTATTAAAATCACAAATGAGTTTGATTCCCCATAGTTTAAATTCCGGAGTATTACTTATTAAGAGGTCTCTTGGTTTTTGGTACTATTTCTCTCCCTCTATGTGTGAAACTTGCAAGTTGCTAATTGCGTTAGTACATTCTAAGACAGAGTCTGTTCTCAAAGCAATTCACACAGAGAGAGACTCAAAGCAATACTCTGTAACAACAGAAACAGCACCCAGAGACTCCCCGCCCTTTTGTTGTATTAACAATTGTGATTAAAATAGAGAGAGAGGATGTATGTGGATGGATGCTTGGTGTGGATAATAACTGAATGATCAGGGAGGTGCCAGCCTAAGAATCCAGTGTCCATCGGCTGAAGAAGGCGTCAAGTGGAAATAACCAGAGGACCCCCCCCCCCGGAGGGCAGACTGGAATCCACCCAACAGCCTCAAGAATGGGAGAACCAAAGAACAAAATAACATCTAGCAGCACGGATCCATCAGGAATGTGCTATCTGCTGACTGATTCAGCAACAGCATGATGAAGCAATTCCCATAGACTGGCCTAGGAATAAATTCCTATAAAAATAGACTCTAGAAAGTGAGAACGTTGGGGGGGATCTGATTCTGCAAACCAACTTCCAGGAGCATCAGATGAGCATCTGACAAGGCCCTGCTCCCTCCTCACATCCAGGCCACCTGGCCAGTGGCTTGGCATGAGCAACTCTAAGGCTGGGAACTATGATAACAACCTTGCAGAACCTATGTGTGTGTGTGTGTGTGTGTGTGTGTGTATGAATGAATGTGTGAATAAATATGAGATTGGATGGAATGTTATAACTATAACTAACTGCTTACTATGATTCTTTCTGTATTCACAATAAATGTGGTATTTTGCCTTTTCCCCTTTAATAAGATCCTGCTGGTTTTTATTTTATTGGTATAAGAGACATATGTGGAGTTCCTGGGAGCTTCGCATCTCTTTATCACTATAACACCAGCTGCTCAAGTGTAGAGCCCCAACTCCTGCCAGGAGATGCCATCTTTGTGCTGGTCCATCTGCGCTTGTCCCTAGATGGCCCTGCTTTGGAATGTAGTTTGAGAGACTTTTAGGAACACATTCAAAGTTCCTGAGACACAAAACTTTGTCATCGGGGTATAAAACAGGATCCACCAGTGTCCAGACCTGCCGGACCTGTGCTGTCACCTGTTGGACATTTTGAAGCGTCAGTTGCTCAGGCTGACAAATCCTTGCAGGAAGGGCGATGGTCCATACCACTCTGATCACACAGACCCTTTGGGTAGTTTTCATACATTTTTCCTCCCCAGAAAATATAAGCTTCTCCATGCATGTTAGCAAGACAATGACCCACAAGCCTGGGGGTGGAATAATGCCACTGCTGTAAGGTCCTATGAAGTCTTAAAGCTTTTACCTAACTATTTAATCAGGGAACACACACTGGGGGGGAAAAGGACTAGGAACAAACCCTCAAGATTCCTACTATGTGATTTCATAGATTATAAGGCTGGAAAGGACTTCCTGCATAACACATGCTACAGGACTTCCCCAAATTAATTTCTGTTTGAACTACAGCATGTCTTTTAGAAAATCATCTGAGCTTGGTTTTAAAATGTCGAGTGATGGAAAATCCACCACAGACCTTGGTAAGTTGCTCCAGTGGTTAATTACCCTTATTGTTAAAAAGTTTGCACCTTATTTCTAGTCTAAATTTGTCCAGTTTCAGCTTCCAATCATTGGGGCTTGTTATACCTGTCAGCTAGGTTGAAGAGCCCTCTATTATCAAATTTTTGTTCCCTGTGTGGATACTTATAGACTATAATGAAGTTACCCTTTAAGCTTCTCCTTGATAAGCTAAATAGATTGAGCTCCTCGAGTCTTTCACAATAGGGTATGTTTTTTAATCCTTTAATCATTCTTGGGGTTCTTCTCTGAACCCTTGCTAATTTTTCAACATCCTTCTTGAAGTGTGAACACCAGCACTGGACAATGTGTTCCAGTTGCTGTCACACCAGTGCCAAATATACAGGTAATATGACCTCCTTCTACATTCAAGATTCTGCTGTTATTACATCCAAGAACTGAATGAGCTTGTTTGGCCCTCCCAATCTTTGTGTCATTTGCAAACTTCATCAGAAATAATTTTGTTTTCTTCGGTCAGTGATAAAAATGTTAAATAGCATAGGACCAAGAACTGATCCCAATGGGACCTCACTACAAACATACTTGCTCAGTGATGATTCTCCATTTATAATTGTATTTTGAGACCTATCAGTTAGCCAGTTTTTATTCAACTGAATGTGTGCCATGTTGATTTTGCATCATTCTCATTTCTTAATCAAAATGTCATGTGGTAACAAATCAAATACCTTGCAGACGTCTATTAGTATTACCTGTATCAACAAAATTTGTCATCTCATTTAAAAAGAAGATATCAGGCTAGTTTGACAAGATCTATTTTCCATAAATCTGTGTTGATTGGCATTAATTATATTACCCTCCATTAATTCTTTATTAATCTAGTCCTGTATCAGCTGTTCCATTACTTAGCGCAGGACTGACATCAGGATGACAGGCCTATAATTATCTGGGTCACCCCATTTACCTTTTTTAAATATTGGCACAACATTAGCTTTCTTCAAATCCTATGGAACTTCCCCAGTGTTCCAAGACATTGAAAATCAACATTAATTGTTGAGCAAGCTCCTCAGACAACTTTTTAAAAAGTTTTGGATGCAAATTATCAAGACCTGCTGATTTGAAAATGTCTGACATTAGTCGCTGCTGCTTAACATCCTCCTGAGTGACTTTTGTAATGGAAAGCATTTCATCATCATATGAGGGGTGTTGGAACAATTTTGTATAATGGGGTTTGCTGAGAGCCATTGAACCAAACTGTAAACCCTATATATGATGGAAACCACTTCAAGCCAAGGGGTGCGGCCGCACCTCCAGCATCCTTCATTCCAGCACCTATGCATAAGATATGACTATACCATCTGGCTTTTTCCCAATCACAGAACCAAAATATTTATTGTACACTTCTGCCTTATCTGCATTATTATGACAATTTTTCCCTTTCCATCTAATAATAGACCAATACCATTGTTAGGATTCCTTGTGTTCTTAAAATACATTGACGGCTCCTTATTGTCCTTCATTCTGCTGGCCACAGCTTTCTCCTTGTGTTATTTTACTTTACTTGTCAATTTTCTACAATTCCTAGCTTCTAATTTATATTAATTATTATCAACTTTCCCTTTTTTTCTATTTGTTATATGTAGTGTTTATTTTTTATAGCTGCTTTCACTTCCCTTTGAGCCAGGTTGGTTTTTTTTAACCAGTGTAGCTCTCTTTCTTGATTTTGAGAGTGTGGCTTTTGGGGCATCTAATAAAATGTTCTAACACAGTTTCCAGTTATCATTCACATTTTTCTGTTTAAATTCAGCCCGTCACATCAGTTCTTCTAATTTCTCAAAGCCATTTTAGACTGGTGCTCTGTGTGGTTAAAAGTCAAGCAATGATGGCTTTAAAATCACAGAATTGGCTTTAACAAATGTAGGAAGAGTGTATGATTGCTTATGCCAGGGATCGGCATCCTTTGGCACACGGCCCGTCAGGGAAAGCTGCTGGCGGGCCGGGACGCTTTGTTTACCTGTAGCATCCGCAGGTTTGGCCGATCGCAGCTCCCACTGGCCGCGGTTCGCCACTCCAGGCCAATGGGGGCTGCAGGAAGCGGCGTAGGCCAGGGGATGTGCTGGCCGCTGCTTCCCACAGCCCCCATTGGCCTGGAACGGCGAACTGCGGCCAGTGGGAGCTGCGATCGGCCGAACCTGCGGATGCTGCAGGTAAACAAACCATCTAGGCCCACCAGTGGCTTTTTCTGATGGGCCACCTACCAAAGGTTGCCAATCCCTGGCTTATACACACCTTACCTGATGCCATTTCCCATGACAAGGTGTAATCAGTAAATCATGTGCATGATAAGTTATACTGCAGGCTAAAGTATTAGTTTTGTATCTCACTGGACAGGTAGTTGCAGGGTGTTTGTGCATTTCTATTATTGTACCTTTCCTTTCTTTACAACAATTTATGAGCCATTGTTCTCATCTCTCAGGAGTTGCTGGAAAATCTGATCTTGATTGTTTCCACAAAAAGAAGGAAAAGGAATAAAGGCAGTGAGAGAAAACTCCACTCACTAAACACTTGGGGAAAGTGTGAAGTAAACAAACTACTTTCTTGCTAAGAAATTTGCATTACTTGCTTGTCATTGGAAATGGTCAGATTGAACCAAAGCCACTTTTAACCTCTCCTGATCCTAAACTGTTGCTTAGCATAGGGTGAGTCCAGATCAGTTCAACAGGAGAAATTCTTTTCAATGGACAACTAAATAGACATGAAAATCCATAACTCCAATTGACTTCAGTGAGATATGTGGCTAGCTGCCAGGTGTCAGGATCAGGCCCATGATACATATAAGTTCATCTACAGGTACCTTAGAACAGCTGTTCTCAAGCAGGAGGTCCGTGGCCCCCTGGGGTCCACGAGCCCTTTTGCGGGGGGGGGGTGGGCTGATGAAACCCAGTCCCCTGAGCCCCAGCGCCTCACAGGGGGCTGTAGCGGGAAACGGTGTCGGGCTGAAGCCATGAGCCCTAGGGCCCCCCATGGGGCTGAAGCTGGGAGCAGTGTGAGGCTGAAACCCTGAGCCCCCCAACTCCCCTGCAGCCGGGAGCAGTGCGGGGCTGAAACAGAAATAGAAGTCAAACTACACCTTTGCCCCAGGGTCCCACCCTTGGCCCGGAGGGCTCCCCTTCCCCCTGCCCCGCTGGGCCCTGGAGTTTTTCTAGCATGCTGGGGGGGGCCTCAGAAAGAAAAGATTGAGAATCCCTGCCTTAGAATACATATTTCTTTGCTTACAATGTTCTTAAAGTATTTGAACTACTATTAAACTGTTTTGTCAGTTACACTGACTATGGTCTGTCTGCTGATGTGAGGTTTGAACCAGAGTTCATTCTGGGGGTTATTATAGTACAAAGATGGGAGCAAAGATTGAGTGAGACAGGAAAGCAAAGGCCTTACCTAATGTGAACAGTCTGTGAACAGTCAGAATGGCAAAACAGCTTAGCAAGCCTGGTCAAGTATCAGCCTTACCATTTGCTCTGACATCATTCATTCCAGCCTGGTTCACGAGATCAAAGAACATGTGCCTTAAAGAAGCAGGACTCAGTACAAAACGCAGACAGTAAACACAAGTGCATGCAGGCTAGTGTGCATGCACCTGGCTGTCTGACATATCTGCCCTCCCCCCAGTGGAAATCCACTGCTTTCTGTGGAGATACTCCTGATTTACAGGGGTGGGCGATCAGAATCAAGCCCTTTGAATTGCACAGGGAAAGTAAGGAAAAAATCTTTCATTTTGAACAATATCATGTTTCTTCTTTCTTTTTGTCAGTATGTGAAACAGATTCATGATACATGCTCTGCTCTGTCATGTGGGATTGAAAAACCGCTCCTGGCAGATGGTTCTTTTTTCCTTCAGAAAAATTATACAAGGTCATAAAGTACTTGGGGTGAGGGGAGTTTTTTCAGTCACTTAGAGGCACGTGACTATTAAATCATCCCCTCGCACTCCAAACTATTTTACCAGAGCTAATAATGTTAACACGTGTGGATAAAACAACAGACTTTAGGGTTATTTCAGTGTGTGCTTGTGCAATTTAAAACAAGATGCTAGCGTTTTAAACAATGTTCCACCAAAGGTAGAATTCAGTGTCCCACTGGCAAGATGTGAAAAGCTAGAGGAAAAGAAAAGAAAAGACATGTAAAAGAGATGAAAGTGTGAGTTAATATTCGTCCAGTCAGGCAATCCAGTCCGGAGGG